CACAGTGAGACTAGTGAGAGGAAGAAACACATTAGCACGTGTCCATAATCAGCCTCTAAAGTCCATTTCTCATGGAGAGGAAATGCCTTCAGATACCACTCTGGGGCTTGCTAGAGTTGAGTTCACGAGGCTACAACTGCCCCTGTCTTCTGCTAGAGATGATGACCTGCTCATGGAGTCAGTAGAGCTGGCCAGTACTCCTTGCCCATCCCCTGATGAATTTCCCAGTTTTAGAGGCTGGACAGCAGCTTCATAGTGCATACAAGTGCAGGATGGCCACAGGAAGTCCTAAGGCAGAGGCAGAACAATTCCCAACATTCTCTTAAATCTTCCACCTGCATTCCCAGAGTCCTGAGGCGAGCTTAGGTCCTCATATTGCACCTCCTGTGTTGCTACAGAAAGGTGAAGCTTCAGAACCCTGAGACCCTACATTCCTCTCCTTTTTAAAAATCAAGTGACCATCAGCTGGGATGGTGCTGAATATCCAGCAAAGACAAGAACGTAGGAAAAATGGAAAGCAGTAAACCAGTTCAGAACTGCAAATGGCAGCCTGCACTCTGCTCTTACCTGGCACTGATACTGCACAGGGGGCAAGGAATGACTGATCATTTCTACCCACAGGTCACCTGCACAACTCAGAAGCCTTCAATTATGGTGTGGAAACCTGGGAAGCTTACAAGAGAGGAGCTTTGTCCAAAGACCTGGTTGAAGAGCAGAAGAAAGTGCAGGAAGCAGACCTGCTGATTTTCCAGGTCATTATTTTAAACAGAATTCAGTTGTGATGCTGACTTTAGGTAATGGTACAGTAAAAACTACAGATCAGTAGTACAATTAGCTGTGTCATTATTCCAGCAAATCCAGTAACTGAGTAGCACAATGATGCAGGTTGAAACAACAGCAATGCCAGGAGCTCCCCAACACTGGGCCAAACTTCCTGATGGATGCACAAAGACATATGTGACCATGGATGTCAGCAGGCTGGCAGAAAGCAGGGGAAGGATTATTTCCTGGTCAAGGAGCTGGAGTAGCCAGTGAAGTCAGGGAATTGGGTTTTCCCAAGTAGACTGTTCTCATTTGTTGCTGGTTTGCAGAAGCACTACTGGCAATTGATGACAGAGCTTTACAACCCATCTCTATTCTCCACTATGCCAGCTCTGTTCCCAGTGTCTAGAAATCCCAAAGTACTGTGAAGGGAAGTAGTAGCCTTACATTTCTTTGTGTCCCTGTTGGCTTAGACATCTCTTTCTATGTTCTTCTCTCCAAGGTTTGATTAATTTTAGGACGGGGCCTTATCTCAATTAAGCATTTCACTGTAAGTCATTGTCATTTTCAGACTATCACTTCCCAGATAAAGACATCCCCTGAAGGAAGTGGTTGCCTTCTACTTTCCATGTGTAAAATGCTATGAAGAGTTGAGTGTGTTCTGGTGGAGAAAATAAAAAAGAAATTTAAAAAGCCTCCTAAGGACATCATGAAAGAATTCAAAATTTGCTACAGACTAAATTCATCACTTGTAGTTACTGTGGTGGTTGCCTAGTTTCCATTTTGTTTTCACCATTTCACCATTAAGCCACATGTCGTTACATGTTTATAGAATTTCTTCCTCTGTGTGCAGTGTGTACAAAGGTTTAGAGGTAGTGATGCAGCCAAGTATAAGAAAGAGCCCATTCATGCCATGGATATGACAGCTTTGGATGCAATCCCATGGGCTAACTGGAAAATCTAGAAATCAAAGGTCCAAATCTTAAAGAAGTCTTTTTCTTCTCAGTATTGGATTTGGGGTTATGATGTCAGCAGGGTTTGAAAAGAAGTCTTTCCTATGATCCCCTGGATTTGTCACCAGACTCTCAGATCAGAGCTGATCACCAGATGTCAATCCAGCTAATAAGATTTTTGATTCTTTTGCATTTCAGCCATAGGAGACATGATTCTGTACAGTCTTAAATCTGAATTCAATGGCACCCTCCTACTTCATCCTATTCCATCTTTATTCTGAATGGAAGGCCTCACATGCACCACAGTGTTGGTGTGCTGTAGATGCTCAGGTCTGGCCCTGAGGTTACCACAAACAGAAAGCACTTCAGCTTCTTTTGCCAGGCACAGTTACTGCCTCTGCTGACAGAGAGCTGGAGAAGGTACATACAGGATCTGAGCAGGTTCAGAGGACAGGATTAGTCCTGTAAACCAGGCCTAAGGGTGGCCCAGACTCTCTGTGCTAACCAGGTAATTTTCTCTTTGCCTAGTTTCCCTTGTTTTGGTTCAACATGCCTGCAATCCTGAAGGGCTGGATGGACAGAGTCTTGGTCCAAGGCTTTGCTTACGATTTGTCAAAGGCTTATGATGGTGGCTTGCTCCAGGTATGTTTTTGGAATTTTTTTATTAAGGTCAAGGCTTGCACCATGTTCTATGGGGGCTTGTTCATTCTTTTCCATTGTAGTTGTTCGGAGCTCTGACTTTCCACTACGTTGAAGTAATGTATCAGCCCTGCTTCACACAAGGGTGTCAGACACATAATTGCTTTTCCTTAACCTATCTCTTCCCAAAGACACACAGTCCACTGTCTGATTGTATGGCATCAATCTTGGCCTCAGAACTGCCACTTCATGTAAGGTCTGGGAAAGAAGAAGTCACCCTCTCCCCTAGAAATCCATGCTGTCCAGGTTTGCCTGAATATCTCTTGCACTGTTCAGGCGCTCTTCTTTAAATATGTCTTAATTAACCACTACTTTCCTTCTTCTAGGGCAAATTATCCCTCTTTTCGTTCACCACGGGAGGAGGCCAAGAGATGTACTCAAAAGAAGGTATCGGTGGTGATATTCGCTATGTCCTGTGGCCCATGCAGGTATAATATATGAACATTTGGTTGTTGTCTTCATAATTTTTTATTTTTCCATCTATTTTTAACAATTGTTTTATTGGGGTTTTTAAATGAAATATAATAATTTTTAATCAAGTTGTCAGTTCCAATGATCTGCAGATTATAGACTGTTACCTAAAATCCTGGGACTACTTTACAAGTCTACTGACTTTTAAAATTGTTTTGTCCCCCCTTCCTCCAGAATAAAATGTAGAGAAAGCTTAACACTGCCAGCCTTTTCAGTTTCCCTGCTGTTACAGGATTTCCTTGAGCTCAGCCATGCAGGATTTCTGTTTCCCGTGGTTTCCCAGTTCATGTAGGATGCAGGGTAGAAGGGGAGCCACACATTACCCTGGCAGTAACAGTCAACACACGAAAGTTAGCATTCCTCTTTTACTTGCTACTCTTTTTACAGAAGTACCCAGCATGGTTTGGAAACACAGGTAGTAAGGCAAGTTTATCCAGCTTCTTCTTGATACAGTACAGGAGATGATCCAAAATTCCATGGTCTCCTCCCCGTGCAGTTACCAGCTGCCTGCTCCTGTGGAGCTGTCCAACTGCAGAGCTTGCAGGTCAACATGGCAAAAACGTGAAACACAACTCTAAATTCAGAAACACAACGAAGGAAAATGGCAAGTTGAGCTGATTCCACAGGCACTAGCCTTCCCACAGGAACCTTTGGCTGAGCCAGAGGCAAAAGGCTAAAAAAACCCCATCTTAGAAGTAGATGTGGAACACTGCAGTTAGAAACCCATCTGAGGAGTTTCAAACTGAACAATGAACTTTTGGCCTCCTGTGATCGTTGCAAAGTGAACAGTCAACAGCTGCCAAAGAGGACAGAATCCCCAATTCTGTGGGATTAACAGCAGTTAAAAATAAATTCTCCAGAGCAGAAGAAATGAAGTTGCCCTTACCTTTCAGTATCTTGTATGCCATTCTGCTGAATGCCTTCAGTAGTGACTGCCTGGATAAGTAGCAAACTTCTGCAATTTATTTTCCTTCTCCTGACAAATGCACAGGTTTAGAGAACCTGACTGATATTGGGTCAAAGAAACAGAACAGACTTGAATCTTGCATGTTCTTCAAATGAAAGTAAGAGGAAATATTTCCTGAGGCATTCATTTCTCTTTTTTTTTTGTTTGTTTTGCATCCAGCATGGAATCATGCACTTCTGTGGTGTCAAAGTGCTTGAACCTCACATCTGTTATGCTCCAGAGAATGTCTCTGAGGAGAAGAGGAAGGAGATGCTGGCTGCCTGGAGCCAGCGCCTGAAGACTCTTTGGAAGGAAGAGCCCATAGACTGCTCTCCTGAGTGGTATTTCAAGTAATGTTCAGAGGCAAGACCACAGAGAGAAGATGTTCTTTTTCTCCATTCTTTTTGATGCTCTATCTAAATACCTGAACACTAATCTCCTAATTCAAATATATTTTAAGAATCTGGAATACTACATCTAGCAGTTTAACTGACAACATGGCATTTATTTTCAGTGATTCCCAAGGGATTCCCTTCAAGGATGGGTGCAAAACTCTTTGTGTTATTCTCCTTGTTCACATAAATGGTGTCATCCTGCTTCCCTGTACTTGATAACATATGTGATATTTCATGGCAGATTATACCATTGCTGCTTGTGAAACAGTATGTGGCCAAGTTTATTTTAACACTTTTTGTACCAGTTGCCACGTGTTTTTCCTTTGCCAGGGAATATGGTGTCCATACTCAACCTTGAAAAGCCCAAGATGGATGGTGATAGCGCTACACTTGTACCTTGGAGCAACAAAACCATGAGTAGTGTTGCAAAAGGATGTACCGTTGCAAAGTGTCTTAAACAGCTGGAAAGCCTTGTGGGCAGCCCTAGGCTTCTCCAGATCCAATCTAAGCTTCTACAGATCCTGTCTATATAGCAATATTAAAGCTAGGATAGATACCAGGAAAGGGAAAGATTAAATATGAATGTAGTGATATGTGCATGATTTGCCTTCCTTTGGAGACTGCAGCTGTCTGTCTGTTGGTCAGGATCTATGGGACAAATGAATTGTCTGGCTCTTAATAGCCAGGATTTTTACCTGGAACTGTAGCAGGATTATTTTTGTGCTTTAGAGTTGTTAACCTGTTTGTGCATATGGCAAGGCGGTGGGGGGGGTTCTCACTTAGCTACTGAATTTCTTGTTCTGACCAGCTCACCTAAATGCTGCCTTTGCACTTTGATATTAAAAGAATGTGGCCTCTATGAGAGCTTGTCCCCTGAGTCACTGTCAAATGACACCTAGGCCTCTGTGCATCTGCCATACCTGCTTTGTGGCAGTCTTGTCACACCCCAGCCTTACAGTTCCCTGGGGACTAACTGGGTAATAAACATGCTGAGGTTCTGGAGGCTCAGTGTAAGCTGATACACCAGACTGGGAAATGCCACACAGGGAAAGGGTCAGTGTTCCTGTTTGCTCCCATATGAAGTGAAGGGCCACATCCAGCAGAGACATTTCCCAGGAAGCAGAGCTGCCCCAAGCTGTTGCAGATGTCTGCTGTGGGGCATGTGAGCCAAAGTCTTTAGGCTGCAGAAGCAGGATATTTGCTTTGGCTCAACAGCTCTGTTATAGGAAAAGGAAAGTGAAAGGGAGTAAGGAAAAAAGTGTTACACATCTAAGTTGTGGGGAAAGCAGATTCACACCTTAAAAACTTAAGGAGAACAACAAAGTTACTGAGACAAATCTGGGGACAAATTTTAAAATTTCATAGAAGGGAAATCATCCTTCTCACTTTGTTCAATTAGCAGACTATTCAGGAAAGAATGAAATTGAGGTAAAAGCAGAAGTTCCAATGTCAAACCAACATTACTGCTTTAGATCAATTGCAGAGCTTAGTGGGGTTAACTGTTAGATGAAGAATGCCAGACTGACCTGTATTTTGAGGATACTGTGCTTGACACTATGTGGCAGACACATACCAGCTCCCACACATATGGTAGCACTAAATTTTAATAAGATGGCTGAGATTTTTAGTACAAAGTATGTAAATGGTTGAGATTAATGCAAGTTCAGTTACAATTAAAAGAAAACTAACACCTTATTCTCATTAATGCTAAAATTGAAGACTTCTGCTCAGATCAATTCATTATGGAGAAAAGCACTAAAAATGTACCAATCTTTTTGTCAATTTCAAGATAATCTTTCCTTCTCCTCAATAAGAATTAAGACATTTCTCTGTAAATTCAGATTGCATTTCTGGATCAGTTTATTTTCCCTATTCATTTAATAAAGGAATGTCATAACTGGCAAGACTGACCTCTAAGCATACATACAAATAAATTACAGTTTCTTTCTTTGTGTAGTGCTTGTTGGCAAATCACAACAGAATGAGATTGACACATATTTTAACCAAGCAATTCAAATAAATTCAGCCATCTCTCTTCCTGCCTTTAGACCACACCTTTGGCCCCATACACAATGCAAAGCTAAACAGCAGAAGAACCAAACCAGACAAACCAACCAACCAAAGAAAGGAAAAAAAACCCTCAGAGGTCAAGTGTTATCAAAAGATTGCTGTAATGTTTGGGTTTGCAAAAGACCAAAACTGAACAATTGGCCCACCAGAGATAGCACATCTGTATTTGCATTTGCTTTATTTACCTGACAAATGACCCAGTCTCTCTAGACTGCAAGTTCAATAATGCTCTCCTTGTGACACCTCACAGTGTGGATGGACACAAAATCGCTGCATTTAAGCTACAGTGAGCTCAGTGTCACAATTCAGCATTTGGTTCTGAGTCTCCTCTTTACAGTAAGTGGGATCAGCCCTTGCATCAGGAGCTGTCAGAGCATTCAACTCCTGTTCTCTCAATCCCAGCTGATCCAGAAAGAATGGAAAACAGGAATGTGCTGGTCCTGCATCAGTTCCACTCGTTCCACTGTCAACTTCTATTTTTCTTCTTTTTCCTTTGTTTATTGCAAAATCTTAGAAACGAGATGTTTATTCAGTTTGTCCATCATAGGGCAGTTTTGATACTCAGAGAGGAAACTTCATCTTGGAAGTGATCACCTAGGCTGTCCTATCTCTGCAAACCCACAGCCGCCCACATCCTTCTATGTCCCGCCTGTCTTTCCCATGAGACCCCTTCCAGAAGGCGGGAAGGGAGGAGCCCCTGCTCCCGGCAGATGCACGTGTGGGCCAGCACGAGGCACAAAGCAGAGAGTGCCATCCCTGGAAGAGCAGATAAGGGTAGATGGGTGGTTTAGGAGCACCCATACTGCATTGCTGACTGTCAGAGGAAGAAATTAAAGACATAATTGTGGGTTGCTACTGCCCTACCCCATTGATACGCCACTGCCCTTCTATCATTGCTGCTTGAAAGCACCATAGGGAATGCAATAGTTCTCCAGAATGGGAAAGATCACAGTAAAGACATTAGACACTCGTCATCACCATCCTTTTCACAGATGAATGGCAAAGCAATGGCCCTTATGTAAAGAACCTGTATTAACTACACACCTGACATCCAGGGGAGGCTGAACTACTTGGCTTATGGCAATTCTTTTGGTTTTGTATTCCTGCAACTGTCCCAGGACTGCTACGTGTGATTGTAACTCTGTTGACAAACAAAAGCCTACTTCAGGCCTTCCTGAACAAAAAAATCCCCAGATATCCAGATCCAAATCTTCCATAGACAAAGGCATTTCCAACATGCCTTGAACTCCCAACCTGCTCTCAGTCTTAATAACATTGCCATGTTTTCAAGGCTCATAATGCCCAGAGAGCTGAGGCAGTGACAGGGCCACAGTGTAGGAGCGACTGGAGTGCCCAGAGAGCTCAGGAAATGACAAAACTCCTTCTTGGGAATTATCATAGTGAGGGAGCTGAGGCAGTGACAGAGTCAACATCTTGGCACCAATCCTATTGCATAGAGAGCTCGAGCAGTGCCACAGTCACCGTGTGGCTCCAATAGTAGTGCCCAGAGAGCTCAGGCAGTGACAGAGCCGCAGTGTGGCACTGATCGTAGTTCTCAGAGAGCTCAGACAAGTGACAGAGTTACAGTGTGGCATCTATTGCAGCCCCCAAAGAGATGGAGCAGCGGCAAAGTCAGGGTGTGACACCGATTGTAGTGCTCCAAGAGCTAAGGCATCGATAGAACTATCATGTGGCACCATTTGCAGTGCTCACAGAGCTCAGGAGTGACAGATTCTCTACCAGCACCGATCGCAGTGCCCAGAGGGCTGGAGCAGTGACAGAGTCCCCATGTGGCACAGATCATAGTGTCCAGGGACCTCAAGTGACAGAGTCACCGTGTGGCACTGTTTGCAGCCTCCAAAGAGATGGAGCAGCAGCAGAGTGAAGGTGTGACACCAATCGTAGTGCTCAAAGAGAGGCACTGTGGCAACAAGGGGGCCACAGTGTGGGAGCAACTGGAGCGCCCAGAGAGCTTAGGAAGCGACTAAGTCGCTTCTCTGGGAATTAGCATAGTGGCCAGAGAGCTGAGGCAGTGATCGAACCACCGTGTGGCACCAGTTTCAGTGCCCAGAGGGCTGGGGCACCGACAGAGTCCTCGTCTGGCAACGATCCTATTGCACAGAGAGCTCGAGCAGTGCCACATTCACCGTGTGGCTCCTATGGTAGTTCCCAAAGAGTTCAGACAGTGACCAAGGCACAGCGTGGCACCGATCGCAGTGCTCACAGAGCTCAGGAGTGACAGATTCTTTGGTGGCACCGATCGCAGTGCTCCGAGAGCACTCGGCCACTGGGTGCTGCTTCGAGCCTTCCGAGCTGTCTCTTTTGCTCCGCCTCCCGCTCCGGACTGAGAGATTATTTAAGTGGTGGCGCGGTGGGGATGAGCCCCATTGCCAGCGGCGCCCAGGGAAGCGGCAGGGTTCCCAGAGGCCAGAACACGGTAAGTCAGGGGCGCTAGAGGGGGAGATGCTCCTTAGAGTTCAGGCAGCGACAGAGCCACGATGTGGCACCGATCTCAGCGCCCAGAAAGCAGCGACAGGACCACCGTGTGGTATCGACTGCAGTGCCCAGATTGCGGGGGCAGTGACAGAGTCAAGGTGTGCCCAGGGGGCTGGGGCAGTGCAGAGCCAGGGTGTGCCACGGATCTGAATGCATAGAGAGCTCGAGCTAGTGCCACAGTCACCGTGTGCCACAGATCGCAATGCCCAAAGGGGTCGACAGACGACAGAGCCATTTTGTGGCAGAGATTGCAGTGCCCAGACACTCGACAGGTGACAGGGCCAGGGTGTTGCACCGATCGTAGTTCCCATAGAGCTCGACAGGTGATAAAGTCACGGCGTGGTCACGATCGTGGTGCCCAGTGGCTCAGGCAGTGACAGATTCTCTGCCGGCAGCGATGGCTGTGCTCCTAGAGCTCGGGCGATGACTCAGTCACTGACTGGGCGGGTCCCTGCGCCTCTCAGAAGCTTACAAGCCGCCTCCCTCGCTCCGCCTCCCCGGAACGGAGGCATTACTTTAGGTGCCTTAGGGGGCAAACCCCATTGCCAGCGGCACCCCGGGAAGCTGTCGGGGCCTCCGAGGCCAGAGCGCGGTAGGGCAGGAGCCCGGAGCGGGAGCAGCTGGAAGAGCCGCGCTGCTGTACCGAAACCGAAACCACGGCGGCGACCCCGCCAAGGGGGTGCGAAGGCGTCGCCGCGGTGTGATCCGGGGGGACTGACGGGTTCCGAGGTGAGGTGGCTCGGTGTCGGTACAGCGCTCCGTCCCATCCCGCACCGCCGTGGAGGGGCTCACGGGGAAGGGGAAGCGCCGGGCGGGGGAGCGGTGCGGACGAGAGGAGGCGGCAGCAGGAAGCCGCCGGGAGGAGAAGGGCGATATGGCAAATCGGCCAACGAGGAACTAGGCCAGAGCAGCTGTGCTTTAGGGCTTCCCGGCTCCTCGGGGAGTAGGCGCCTCTGGCTACGGCCAGGCCGCGCGGGAGCGCCCGTCTCCGGCAGCTGCGGCCCGGTGTGGCAGCCCAGACAGCCTTTCCCGATTCCCGTACGGAATCGCTTCTGTGACAGAACCGACTGTAACAGCTTTGCACCGGTACTGGCTACTGCACAGATCCCATCCTTTCCTCTTCCCACGCTGCCTCTGCTCCTGTGGAAACTTCTGTTGCAAAACACCTGTTTCCCTTGAACTGGCTTCTCCTCCCCTTCCCGTGGAATCCTTTCTGTTAACTGCTGCCGGCCTGACACAGGTATTTTCTTTGCTATTTCCAAGAGAAAAAAGGGGGGGAAAAACCCCTTCCTTGGTGAAAAAATGCATCCGGTGAAAAATCTGAGCAGAAGGGAAAGGTTTAGATGGAGTGGGTTATGACATTTACAGCAACAGATCTGAGATACCCTGAGATACCTAATCATCATTGACACAGGCAATATTTCTGTTATCACCTGTAGCAGCCCTTCTGCTTGTCTCCTCTTGGTCCTTTGGGTATACCAGCTTTGGCTTCTGTTCTTTGTTCCTTTCCATTACTGACTGATAACTCAGTGGCCACGAATTTTGCTACTTGTAAAGGTGCTAATTTTCTCCAATTAAAGTTTATAGCACCTCTTAAGAACTTAGGTGCTGGGAGCATCATTAGACTACAAAGGCTCCATGTTTTTTCATATTACTGTGCTAATGTGCTCAGCCCTCCTCCTTAACCATGCCGGTCACGTCATTACAGATTTCTAACTGTATCAGATCAGTTACAAATCGTTAGAACTGAACAAAGCACTTTTGAACAGTGATTAGGAATATGACATGATGAGCTAATGTCCAGGTTATGATCCTTGTGAATTTATATGCCCTTTAGGCATTAAAGGAGAGGACATAACCATGGTGTTAAAAAGAAAAATGCCACAAAGCCACTTACAGCTGTACTATCCTCTTCTAGAGAATACCCAGCCATACTGGTGGACAGAAATTTCTCTCTTCTAGAAAGTGGTATTAAAAATTTTCATAACACATGTTGGTACTTGGTATATATGAACCCAACTGAATACAAATGATCAGAATAGTACACAGAAAAAACTGCTTTGTAATGAATCAAGTACACAGATGACAGCTACTTCACAGAACATAAATTAACCACTAGAAGTATGCATAGCTTCTGTAAGGGTTGGCTGAATTAAGCTACAAAATTTCTGTTCTCTTAACCACAGATACTTAATTCATGAATTGGTGTGTCCTAAGTACATATAAATAACCCTGTATTTCAATAAGAAGCAGTAAGGTTGGAGTGAACCTGAGTCTTTGAGGTTCTGTCCTTGATTTTTTATAATTTGATATTTCAAGCTATCCTAAGCCAATATCTGATATTAAATAGCATACCAGAATAAGTAGTCTTTGCTTTAAAGCCTAGCTAGACATTGTTTTCCTGTGATATTCATTCTACCAAAAAAAAAAAAAAACCAAAAAAACCCAAAACAAAACTCTTGATTTGAAATAAGTCATTAGATCAGGCAGCTTCTATTCAGAGTACCTCATTACTTAATAAGAGCACCAAAAAAAAGCAGTGGCATCTTACCATGCCCAAGGGGGAAGGTTCCCTCCCATGTAATAAGAAAATTCCCTCTTCTTGAATGTTACTCAGCTCACTTCAACAGACACATGATGATTTTAGAAGTTGCTAACTTTCTTTGAATTTCCAAGACTTTTGGTCATAGTGACTACATGTGGCTTGCTAGGAAGGAACAGGTAATTAACATTGTAAATAGGAACAAGGTTCTGCATCTATTGCAGTTTTGGGCAGAGATATTTTTTGCCAGGTTATATGGTATCAAATGCCAGTCCCAAGCTATCAGTGGTATTAATGCAGCTTTGGAGATTCGCCACTCAAAAATGCACATCTACTTTGCATTCACAAGAAAAGCACGTGCCAATCTTATAACTACTACCTAGCTGCATAATTGCTGTTAGCATGGAAAAATTAACATACATAAGTGACTTCAAACTTATTCTTGGAAGGGAGACCCAGGTAAAGAAGCAAGATGTTAGTTTATGTCATGTTTCACTCTGATGGCTAAATTTAGGCTCTTGTACATGTGACATCCACCCCATCTGCACAAAAGTCAGTATGACCACACCAGTAAATCCAGAGGACCATCATCAAAAACTTTCAGGGAGATGAAAGCTCAGCTATGAAAGCAGCAATGGCACTGCTATGAGTCGTTTGTTGCCTGCCATTTGATTGGCTGTAAAGGAAAAACAAAAACCCAAAAACAAACAAACAAAAATCTTCATTAAAAAACCCCAAAAACAACCACCCATAAAAACCCCTACCACAACAAACAAAACAAGAACAATTTCCTCTAATCGTTATTAGGCATAGTAAGACTTACCTTCTTACTAAATGAATGCCGCCATATCCTCAGGCCTGTGCTCATAATCCAGGCTAGCACTGCAGCAAAACAAAGCCTACATCATTTTGAAGTCCACAAAGCCAAAGCAGAAAACTCTGAAGAGAGGACACTGCTCTGGGTGTAGGGAGGTTGTTCCCTATCTGTGCTACAGCAGCCCGTAGAGTCTCTATATGTACTCTGAAAAGAAAGCTTTTGCTCTATCTCTTCTACAGGCACAATTCATAATTTTTTAAAAATTTAATTTATTGTCCCCTGTTTTGGTTTGTCAGTATTGAACTGATCAGACCATTTCCAGCTCAGCATTGAAATGTCTGTCTTCCTCAGGTACCTACTTTCCACACAAAGTCCTTAGATCCCAGGCTTCCCAAAGAGGGTGTGGTAATGAGGCAGTCAAAATTAGGCTGCAGCTGGTGTTCACAACAACATTAAGCAATCTTTTCAATTAGAGATTGGATGATACAAGTGCACAATAGTTTACAGGAATTGGCAGTCATTTGTTGGTCTGGAAAAAACTTGGGAGTCCCTTTGCTACACAATTTAGAGCTCTTAGTTACCCAAAGAAGCCAATCTACTGTTGCTGGTAGTGGCACTTAGAGGTGGTGCCTTTCTCCCAGCTCCATCTATCTGTGTTGTAGTTACCCAAGACAAGTGGAAAATGAACAGCCCTGCCAGTCTCTTGCACTTTGTCTTTTCTCAGCAAACTCTTTCTTTACCTGATGTAAGGTGCTTAAGTTAAAAACTTAGTGAGGGGGGAAAAAGCAGAGCTTGTTGGCTTGCACCAGTGCTAGCAAAGCAGCTTGCTGGCATATGCTGAAGGCAGGGGCTGTCTAGACTGGGAAACATTAGGCAAGAGAGTACTGCAGCCTTATCAAAGGATTAAAATTATTCTGGCATCCACTTGTGCTTACTTACCTATTACTTATCTGTTACTTACCCATTTCATAGGATCCCCCAAACTCTTTTTTTGTCTTGATGCACTTAGGAGTTAGTACAAGCCTTCATAATTTCTTTGTTCCTCTTCTTTTTAATGGGCAGAGGAGAAGTTGCCATACATATTCTTTCCTAGCACTTGTCACCTTGAGATCATGTGCCAATAAGCTTCCCACAGAGGCCCAGTCCTTCATTTCACCCTCCATTCAGTTGTTTGGTTTAAGCTTTAAGCAAATCCTTTAAACCTAGGTTTGCAAAGATGCCTAAAAGGTAGCTTAGGGTTATGCAGGAATCTGGGCACCTGACAGCCCATGTTCAGGCAATTCAGAAAACAAGATACCTATCAGAATCATTAGGCACTACCTGCCTTTGGGACTGTGGCTCTTGGTTTTTCTGGGGTTTGGATTTTGCGCGTATGGAGAGTAGGGACTGATCTACTGTATATTGAATAGATAAAAACTATTTATCAGCAGCACTTTGAGATCTTCAGGTGAAGAAATGATTTTACATCAACTGAATATAACAGTAGTGGGTTGACAGGATTAATCTTTAGGTCTGATTCTGTGAGAACTGCAGCATTTTTGGTTTCTTACTGAGCATTCATAAAGGGTCATGAGAGTTTATGTTTCTGTCCCACTCCTTCAATGTGCACTTATTTAGTGGAACAGCTGAACGCTTTCAATGACACTTTATTTTCCCTCCTTTATACTGCAGGTCCAGGAGCGCGAGGGTGCTTGATTTTGTTTTAATTGCTAAGCCACAAAGACTGCAGCCATGTCTCTGGAAGACATCCATATGAACACCAAGGATTTGCTTGAGAAAAAGCAACTAGATGCTGGAGGATTTGGAACAATTTCTTTATGCTTGCACAAGAAATATGGATTTGTAGTATTAAAAAAAGTGTATACAGGACCACAGCGCACTGAGTAAGTTCCAGATCTCAGTTCTGATTTTCAGTTGGTCTAAGTCCTCTAAATTCAGTTAAGACAAACCTAAATGGAGTGTAATAATTTCAGGTCTTTGGCTTTTGGAAATACTTTATGTGGAGAAAATAATACTAACAGCTGTCCTGCAAATTTTCTCTTTTTTCCCCCTCTTGTTAAGAATCAAGAGGATGCCTGCACACTTAAGGAAATGCAGGAACTCAGTGGCCACACCATATTTTCAAACTTGCATATATGTTTTCAATGAAATTATCCAACTGTAGATGTCCACTAGGAACTAAATGCACATAAATTATCAGCAGGACTCCAACCTCATGTGTGTTAATACCACAAATGTAAACCTGTCTCCCTTAAGAAAGAGCAGAGTGAGCCAAGCCCACTGATTTAATTCAAAGATTGAATGTTGATTTCAGTGGATTCAGGTGACATTGCAGCTCTACTCCCTCACAGCCATAACAATCCTAAAACTCTCCCATGAGTAATCCACTAGAGACAGACAAAATTCCATGATTTTTCTACTTTGGGTTGTGATAAATTAACTGAGTTTTTATTTTGCTGGTAGAAAGCAAATTAAGAGATTCTAGTAGTTTGCAGCCTGCAATGACAGTTTGGGATGACCACAGTTAGAATAGACTAGCCTGCCAAGTGTATTTTTGGGTTTGTGTTTTTATTTTTTCATTACACAGGCTCATAATTTTCTTATTCCTTAAAATATGGGATGGTAAGTCTTTAGCAAATTTTTTAACTGAGCCTAATGCAAACAAAACAATCAGTTTCTTCTCTAGTAATACAGAGGAACACAGATGGAGAAAGCAGTTTCCTTTTAAGTCAGAGGGTAGGAAAACATTAACAAGCAGTATTGTTTCAATATTTTCTTACATCCTTCCATCTGAGGACTAGAACAGGAACAATAATAAAAATACCATTCCTTCTATTCATTATATAATGGATATTATCCTTTTTTGAGACCCTTAGTGAGCTCCCAGCTATGTACCTATGATTATTGATGGATTGTACTGAGACCAAGGTAATTGTTAAACCAGTAATTGTTAGCAAATGCTGTCATCATTTAGTATGTGTGTGGCTCCCTTGTAAGAAATCCATTTTGAACATGAAGCCCTTAGGAAACAAGACCTCCCTAAGTTACCTGTACAAGAAGTAGTGGAGTGGATCTTGATCCTTCTTGTTCCAAGGCTCTTTCAGCTCTGCCCAGATCTCACCCCAGTCAAGAGATTTCGACATCCACAGCTACCTACAAGAAGTGGAAAGCAGGCCTTAAAAACAGACTGAGCAGACAGTCTCTGTTTAATGCATTTGAGCAGAATCTTAGAGAATATAACCTGGCATGATTTAAAATCAGCTGAAGGTATGGTTAATCTAGGGTTGTTGACATTTTTGGCCATGGTTTTCAGCCTGAATCAGTGTGATTTTCATCGCTTTGTTCTTTCTGGGCTGGCACCTAAATTGAGTGTAATTTCTGTTTTACAGGTACAATGTTTCCCTTCTTGAAGAGGGCAAGATTATGCGCAGACTGCAGCATGACCGCGTGGTAAAGCTGCTTGGAGTCATTTTGGAAGATGGAAACTACTCACTTGTGATGGAGTACGTGGACCGGGGAAACATGATGAAAGTGCTGCAGAATGTGAGCAATTACTTCACCCCTTAGAGTTGATGAGCTGCTTGAAAGGGAGAGGATGTTAGTGCCATAGTCAGAGAACGGAGTTTTTAATTTCTTATTCTTCTTTTTGTATTAAAAAGCCAGTGGCAGCACTGCTTTCTCTAGAGACAGCAGACAATGGCTTTCCTGTGCATCACAAAGGAGCAGATCAATTACAGATTAAAAACTTCTAGAAGCACTGTAGAGATAAGTGGAGAGTTTGCTAAATATGTAGCAAATATTTTTTAAATATGGAGTGACTCAAGAATTATTTTAATGACAAAATTTCAATCCAAGAAGGACCTTAGAGCCATAGAATATCCCTAGTTGGAAGGAACCTTGATAGATCATCAAGTCCAACTTGCACAAGACAACCCCAAAAATCACAACCACCCTCTGGGTGAAGAATCTTCCCCTAATATCCAACCTAAACCTTGCCTAATCCAGCTTTGTGCCATTCCTATCACTGACCACCAGAGAGAAGAGATCTGTGCCGGTCCCTCCACTTCCCATCATGAGGAAGCTGTAGACCATGATGAGATATTCCCTCAGTCTCCTCCAGGCTGAACAGACCAAGTGGCTTCAGCCCTTCCTCATATGGCTTCCCCCCAGATTTTTCACCATCTCTGTGCCTTCCTTTGGAGGCTCTCTAATGGCTTTACATCCTCCTTAAATTGTGGCCAAAACTGCACATAGTATTCAAGGTCAAGCCATACCAGTGTGGAGTAGAGTGTGACAATCACCTCCCTCATTGAAAAACTGGAGATGCAGGTTTTTCTTACCATAGCTTAAGCAGAGGTACCCTTGGGACTGAGGAATTTTTATTAAAAACTGAGTTTTAAGTTGATTGTTGTGGTTGCATTTTTTAATAGATGGCACTTCTTGTTCTTTCTTTTAGCTCTCACTACCTTTGTCAGTGAAAGGGCGTTTTGTGCTGGAAATCACTGAAGGAATGCTTTATTTGCATGAGCAAGGCTTTGTACACAAAGACCTAAAACCAGAAAACATCCTTGTGGACAGAGACTTCCACATTAAGGTATTTGTTAAAATGTGAATGGAGAAGGTTCGTGATTTGGGTTGAAGAACCCATCACAGCCGTGCTGGTTAGAGTTCCTAATTTGGTGGAATTGGTAGATGAATGCCTCTGTAGTTTAGTGAGTTATCACTGAGAGAGGGTTCCCTGGATTGCTGAATTATGGTGGCCTATACAACCTCTGAGTCTGAGATTTGCACAGTATTCCGCCAACTGTGGGAAAAAAAAAATCACTGAGGGCATTAAAAAAATAATGTAAATAACAAGCTGTAAATAACATAACAATTACATTAAAAAAATGTTAATACGGAGTTTGAAACAAAATAGAATGTTTTATGGATGGTGTCTTTTGTCCTTTATTGCTGTAATTTCTCCTCCTGCCTTCACTTCCTTTTTTATTACTTTCTTTCTTTCTTGTGTTATCTTCTCCTCTTTTGTATCCCTCTTTTCCCTTAGTCACCATTTTAAAATGACATCCAGGAGCTACAAAAAAACCCCATTAGGACACTACTTCAAAGAATGGTTTATAAGCCTGTTCCAAAGCCCTTCTATTAACTTCGGTGGGGTTTTGGATCAAGACACATAAATATAGAGGCTACTGCAGAATAAACCTGAGGGGAATTTGCAGCAGTCCTCATCAAATATCCTGTTTCTGGCCAAGGTGAGTTGTTGAAATAATGATCCCATTACAGTTTGAAACTATAGATTAAATTTCTGTGAAGAGAAATCTGTCATTTTCTATTTCTCACACACAATTTAGTAAGTAGTTCTTCCACAAGGTTAATATAGTAGCAAGTGTAGTATGAGCAGCTTGCAATAAGAATTATAAATTAATTTCCTTTCCAAAAATAAAAAGCTCATCATGATCTGCTTTAAATGTAAATTGTATGGGGAGTTTGGTTTCATCTCTATTATATAGACAGGACCAAACTAGGCTATCATCACATTTCATGACAAACTGACCTGGAACACAGGATCAAATTCAGAATCAGATAAGACTTCCTTAAGTAACTTGATCAAAAATATAATATAAGGCAGCTGTTGTATTATCTATCTGCTTGAATGTGCCTAACATTGTCAATCATTAGAAAGGGAAATAGTGGTTCTAGGAAATTGTAAGTGTAGAAAGATTTGTCATATCCTTCTCTAGCACTACACATGAACCTGGACTCCTACTTCCTCAGCAGAATGTTGCCGGGATTTTCCAATGAATACACAACCTCTAAACATAGCCCAGGGCTGCAGAAACTCAAGAGGAACAATAAGCTAGTTAGAGGCAATATGAGAGAAAAGTGAGTTAGAAGTGAGGCGAGGTGTCATCTTGATTTTATCTGAAGTAATTGAGTTACTCAACTCTGTTTGACAGCTGACTGTGGCCAAGAGACACACGCCCATTTTCTTTCAGCTTTCCTCTCCTGATGACCTCCTGTTCCCTTGTGTTAGCACTGGTGCTAATGTGAACAGCCTGTCTTGATTTAGGAACCCAAAGCAGCAGATTACCATTTACCTTGTTGGCAGTGCTATCCTTCTGTTGGGGAGCACTTGGTTCAGCAGGCTGCTTGACTGCCTTACTCTAGGGTCTTCCCAGGAAAGTGTCAGTCCTGGAACAAGAGGAGCAGAGGGAGCACATAATAGAAGATGGCGGGGAGAGGAGCGAAAGATTACTTTCTTCATCTAGTTAGTCTAGTTGCAAAACTGCACCTTAAAGTTTCAATAATACCACATTGTCAACACACAGTACCCAGGTATTTGTGCTTTAACCTACTCCATGCTATTCTTTTCCATGTCTCTTTGTCATATATATCACATCATTTCAGATCCTCTTCTTTCCCTCTTCTGAAGGAAGATCTAACTTGGTTGAGTTAAATGGAATCTGAATGGAAAGGGCAGTGAGAGAGGAGGCATATCTGCCTGTCTCATAGATTGATTCTAGGTTTGAATCTTAGATTCTTCTCCTATGAATCTTCTATTCTCCTATGAGTGCTGCAAGCAGACCTCAAATAAGATTGCCAATGTGAGTGAAACCAAATTTCTTCTATCCTCACATTGTGCAAATGTTCTACACTTACACAATATGAGGATAGAAGAAATAATAAAAGTTCAGCCTTATGGCTCCCAGCTGGCAGTGATGCTTTATTTAGAACAAAAACCAAACCAACCAACCAAAGAAAAACAAGAAAAAAAAATCAAATAGTTTGTTTTCCTTTTTTAAGTTGTATTTTTTCACTATTTAATTTTTCGATAAGTTAGTAGACTTAAGTTATTAGACTATTAAGACTTGATAAAATTGACACTGAATGCAATACTTGTTTATCTCCTCTTCATTACAGCTCTGATGTGTCTCATTTTTCAGATTGCAGATCTCGGTGTTGCCTCCTTTAAGAGCTGGAGCAGGCTGACCCAAGAAGAAACTGTCCGACAGAAGCAAATGAAGAGCACCTACCAGAACAATGCTGGGACTCTTTTCTATATGGCCCCAGAGCATTTACGCTGTGTTAATGCTAAACCAGTGGAGAAATCAGATGTTTACAGCTTTGGCATTGTGATCTGGGCAATTTTTGCTAACAAAGAGCCATATGAAAGTACGTTATTTCCCAAAGGATGCTATCAGAAAAATAAGTTACAAATATTAAGCATTTAATGTTATAAAATTAAGATTAGTAGATTGCATCACCCATGGCCTAGAACAGCACTGGTTTGGCACCTCATGGCCAGTCAGAGGAAATAGTTGCATCATTCCTGACTTGTCAGCATGGACAAGAGCATCTGAATGAAATGCAGCCATAAGCTGAATCTACTCACATCTACCTGGTGTGGGTACAAACCAGACTTGGTGGCAGAAATTAAGCAAACCTCAGGTGGGCCAGGATGGAAACTTTGATGGACACTATTTCCTGAGGTGGACTAGTTACACGTGAAAATGAGAATGATCTCACAATCAGTTACTGATTCTCAGCTGTGTGGTGCTGATTTCTCAACGTGCACCAATGGGCTTAGGTAGAACAGTAGGAGCCAGCTGTGGAATTCCAGAGTAACATGTTTATAATTTTGAATGGATTTTTTGCTATTTAAATGGCTAAATGTTGCCTGCATGGCCATCTTGGTGTTCATATCTAGTGCAGAGCTGATGCACCAGAGAAGCAGGTTCCAGAGAGGTACCTCTGTCACCCTTACTCACACTGTGCACGTCTTACATATAAAAGTAAATCCATCAATCTTAAAATAAATCTCTATTACATGGAAATCAGGGCAGTGGATTTAAATTCTCTAATATGAAAGATTTGTAGCTGTAACCTGGACCTCTTTGAAATCAAGTTTTACATACCCACAAACACACAGGGAGCTATTTCATTGTTTCTTTTACCTATGGAAAGGTAGCAAAACCCATGAGCAGAACCTGATAGGAAATTTTATTTTTCAGATGGTATAAATGAAACCCAGATTTGCTTTGGCATCATGAATGGAAACAGACCAGACATAAAGGAGATCACTGATAAATGTCCAGTGCAAGTTATTGACTTAATGAAGCAATGCTGGGATGAAGATTCAGAGAAACGTCCAACCTTTGCAGGTAAGGCATTACTTTAGGATTTGTATTTGTTTGTGTCCATTGATAGCTTATAATGCAGCAAAACATTTCAAGAGTATTTTCCTCTTGAAATAAGATGGGGTGTTTTATGAAAACTGAAATAGCCATGCACATAATCTGCTCTTTGGTCATAGTACAAAGTATGCTCTTTGTACTATGACCAAAAGTGGGATCTGATCCAGCATTTGCAGGTTTTAAAAATCCTAGTAAGTGAATGGAGCTGATTAAGACACTTTATCCTTGATAATTTCTTTTCAGCATAGTATAACCTTATTGCTGAAACTTACATAAAAACTAACATCAAGGGATATACTATATCTTGACCATGACTGAGAAAATACCCTGTTCAAAATACTCCAGATTCAAAAGCTGCCCTAGTTATCCTTCCATAAGCAACGTGACTGACTTTGATAGCTAATCATCCTTTCATATGGTCAGATGGCAAAACACTTCCAGTCAGTAGAAGTCTTGGCTGAATGGTCTGGGAAGGAGGCTAAGAGCAAATAAGTAAAAATTCTATGTCTCATTGTCTTTTTGGCACTCAATACATAGTGCCAAAAAAACCCCAAACAAACCAAAAAACCAAAAACACCCCAACAACCTGGAAAACCCAGAACAACAAAAAGAGGGGAAAAAAACCTCAACCCACAAAAAAGACCCCAACAAATAACAGGAAACTGAAGTTTGTATTTAGACTGGGGCACCAACAACTTCATATACAGGCATGTATTTAAATGCTCAGAGAAAATGTGTATCCCATGAGGAACCCACTTACTGTCTCCATATTAAACATATATAATCTACTTAAGCATATATAATCTACTGCTAATAGATTAAGTTTATGCTTGTATTGGATTTTAGCTTCTAATTTCCCCATATGCAAGCCAAGGAAAGATGCTCTCAGCCACTGATCATAGACAGATTTCACCATAAAAGCCAATACAACAACAACAAATCCATAGAAGTTATCCTGTTCTTGTTACTGTTTGAGACTAAATGTACCATGTGAACAAATTATCAACGTACGTATACCTTTCTTGTTTCTGACATTGTAGAAGTCTTCATTCTTCATTCCTTTTCCATCAAGATTGTTAACAGTACAATTCACTTTTACTTTCCTTTGAAAACCATTTTTCACTTAGTTCTTTGCTTTTTGCAGAAATCAGTGAAAGATACAAGCCATTTTACTATGAAGAGCTAGGAAAAAATATTGAAGAAGATCTGAAGAATTTAAAAGTGAGTAGCTTTCTAAGCATTTTAAAGTTCCCCACATTCCTTCTTCCCAACCCCAATTATGGCCAGATTCCGCCACTTCAACACTGATCATGCTTGACAGATATGATTTCCTGCTGTGATAAAATAGCTGAATTTGTGAATGAGGGCAGAGCAGTGCATGTCATTTATCTCAACATTCAGAAGGTTTTCAGCACTCTCTCCCAAACTACTCTTGTATCCAAGTTCAGATGCTGCTGTCTGGATGAGCAGATGAAAACAGGTTGGATGGTGAGTCCCAGAGTAGTTGATGGGTCCTTCTTCACCTGCAGGCCAAAAGCAGCTGCAGGAGTGCAGGGGGCTGGGACCTGACCTGGTTTACTCCTCTGTCAGTGACCTGACAGAAACAATGAAAACACATAAGGTGTGCACCAAACTAGAAGGGCTAATCAAGACAGTCACAAGGACAAGGCTGATAGTTGCAGGCTGGAGGAATGTGGTGACAGAAACCTTGTGAAATTCAGAAAGCACAAGAGGAATGCTGGGATTAAATAACCCCTGGCTTCAGTGCCAACCAGGGGCTGCCCAGCCAGGGAGCAGCACTGCCAAGAACCTCAGGGTGGTGGAGAGCAGCAACCCGGGCACCAGCCACAGCCTGCCTGGCACCAGCAGTGTCACAGGCAGCAGGTCTGCTCACACCTTGTTAGTCCTTATAGGAAATGGGAATGCAGCCCAGACATGCAATGGCTTTGGAGGACAAAGAAATAGCAGCCTGCCCCTATGTGTGAGGAGTTTGAGAAGAGAGAGCCGAGCTCTTCACAGCAGCACATTGTGTGAGGACTAGAGAAAAAAGACAAATACAGAAACAAGAGACTCAAACTTGGATGTAAGAGTGAAATTAAAAAACTCCAAAACTTTCCCTCTGAGCAGAGCAGAGCAGTGGCACAAGTTACCTAAAGAGGTTGTCCAGTCACCATGATTGGAGGTTTTTAAACCCAACTGCACAAAGCTCTGAGCTACCAACTCCAGTCCATAAGTGACCCTGTTTTGAGCAGGAGGTGGGCCCAAGGTCTATTTCCACCTGAGAGGCATGCTGATTCTATGATGATATTTTGCAATTGTCCTCAAACATCCACTAAGTCTCACTCACAAAATGTTATTCATATAAATTAAAAAGTGGCAGAATCTAATTTAAAGTAACTTCATAAATTCTTGGTAATTTTTGCCCTGTCTTCAGGCAGTGTCTCATGAGTCTCAGCCTGCTTGAGACCGGGAAGGTATTCCACAGTAATATTAACAGGTAAAAGTTAAAATCAGATCATTTTCCTGAGTGTCCAAGTTGGTTTGTCTTACTTTTCTTGCTGTAAGTTTAAATACTATGATTAAAAGTATAAAAGATCCGACTGAAAATAAGAGAATCATAACTTACTGAAAAAATGGGCTGATAATGGAACCTTTTTATCACAGATATTATGAGTTTCATCACTTGACTGTATAGACTTCACTCACAGACAATACAGAGAGTATTCTTAACTAAGAAAGCAAAACAAAACAAACTTCCTTGTGAAACCATTCTTTCACCTTTTTTTAAAAGCTTCTTTCTCACCAAGTCTTCAATTGTGGAAATAAAAATTACTCACTTCATGTGATGTTTATGAAACACCAGTAACTGTTCAAAAAAGCAACAGAGTTTTGCAAAGTGAAACTGATAAAGCAGATCTCTTGGACTGATTTGATCAAACTCCCAATATGAACTACATATATGTCTGATTTATGACAGCAACCCCAAACCAGGACCAAAGCAAATTTTACTACATGCATTAGCTCTCTGCAGATGCACCTCTCATATCATAGGGACAAAATGACTATGTAGGAAATGGGCTGTGAGTTTATTACTTTCTCAGGAAGGAAAGCATCCATTACAATCAGGGCACAGATTGTGAACAGAGGATCCAGGGCAGTCACAGTGTGAATTACAAGTACAGCTTCAGTAGCAACATGGCTTAGAGAGTTTGGACATAGCCTTCCTGCTGCCTGCCCAGCAATCATGGAAGCCTCCTAACTAAAAGGATCACAGAATCACAGAATGGTTGAGGATGAAAGCAACCAGAAGTCATTTGGTTTAACCCCCCTGGTCAAACAATTCCATTACTCAAGTAAAATATAAGGACCTATGGTTGTAATGTGTGTTAGAATGTTACCTTTTGCTTTTGGAGGGAAGTAGATTTTTTGGGAAGAGATAGGTAAGAATTGTTGATTTTTTAATCTGTGAAAGTACTTATTTGGTTTAATTAAAAAATACTAACACAAACTCTGCTTTTGGAAATTATTTTTTGAGTAAGCAGCACTTAGGGAAGTTGAGAAATAATTTTTGCAGGTTAATAAAAAATTACTTCCAGCAAAGCCTGAATAATGGGAACATCAAAAGAGTAGAAAAGGAGTAGATTTTGCCTTCACTCTAGCTAAGTGAGTATGAGGGTTATAGAAAGGAAATTGCACTGCTTCTTTCTGAAAATTTACTCTAAACTCCTAATTTCTAATAAGCTTCATAAAAGTCAATGTGCCTAAACCTGAATGTTAATGATTTCTCACCTCTTCTTCCCTGTTGATGAATGAGCTTATTATAGATCCACAGATCAGGATGCATGTTTACTACCTTTACCTCAGCAGCATCCCCTCACTGAGATTGCTTGCCAAAAGTCTGGCAATTAAATACAAGTCAGACAATCAAGAGCCACTCTGGATTAAGGTCACATTCATGTAGGCAAAGATGTTGTTTGGCCAAGTCAGAGTGTTATATACTGCTGTTATACTGCAGTCCTCCCTCCCTTCATTGAAGAAAAGATTTTGCCCACCTGTAGCAAAGCAATGGGTATTTCCTGTCAGGCTGTGCTCTCTGAAAGAGATGGGATCTTTTCCCAGAGACTGATAGAGCCTATTCATCCAGGTCACTTCACAGTGAAGCTGTACTGCTTCATATTCTACAGGTACTCCCTTTGTTTAAGCCTTTGCCTATAATTTGATCATTTGTTCTCATGTGCAGAAAATGCAGCCTGAGTCAAATGAACTGCTGCATAGCATGGAATCCCTTCAAATAGATGCTGCACCAGCAGATAGCAGCAATGGTCAAGTAGGTAAGTCACCAACACATAATTACTCTGTCTATTTGCCAAAGATAAAGTTGTGTACAAAGCAAGTAACTTTACCATTTAGGGTTATGAAGAGACTCAATTACTCAGCACCTCAGAAAGAATTGTAATCACTGAGATGATGTTATTTGCTCCCAGAAGGTACACTTACAATTTCTATCTCCTTTTACACTCTTATGCTTTCCTCTTCCATGCCAAAAATTTTGTTCAACATTCAGCTTTACAGTGGTCACTTTGTTAATTACTTTTCATACTTGATCTTTCTTCTCATCTTTTAGTCATGCCAACTGCTTGGTTTGTAGGCTGTAATTTCATTAAGACCTTTCTTTTTCCCCCTCCATCCTTTCTTATGAATGCTTTGAATATGACCAAGATACATAATTGTAAATTATTCCTTTGTTTAGGACTTTGCTCTCTAAGGAATCTGAGGAACACTAGTAGACAGGGGTTTTTTTCGTATTTTTGTCATACTTTCATCAAATCTTGGATGAGTTGCATGTTTAGCAATTTTATAGAGCTGGCTCTCTAATATGTGATAATATATGGAATATGATAGAGTTAGAGTTTTGTAGTAGTGTATCTGGAATTCTCTTACCAAAGAACACTGATTTACAAGAAATAATAAAAAATCCTGTAGAAATAAAATTCTGCTGGGTTATCTAAGACACTATTAAATTAGTAATGTTAAACTGTAAATGCAACTAATAAATCTTCCCCAAAGCCAGGTTTCCCACAACTGTTCTTCAGTAGAACTGATGGACTTAGGGCAGTCCCACTGCTCTGTTTTTAAGGGAGTGTAGTTACATTTCCTGTGCAGAAAGAATCATGTATGACTGCTGCAGTTTGCAGGTGCTCTCAAGTTTTAAGTACAAAAGACTTTGTTGTGAATCTCCACTGCAGAAAGATGCTGTCTTGCCAGCCTGTCAGTCAAAGGCAGGGGCTTTTCTCTAGTCAATGGGCATCACTCAGACAGTGTCAGTGAAGGCATCCCACAGGATCTGTCCATACATCTATCTCAAGCTTGCCCTGGAGAGCAGATGCCACATAGTTTATGGTAATACTGAATTGCTAAGAGCTGTCACTTTGGATGGAGTTATTTCTGTATTAACCATTTGTCCCACTTCCTCTCTAGCAGTGATAGCAAAACAAGCAGAGCAAGTCCTACTGAAGGTGTTCTACTACACAGCCACCCAAAGGAACCAGTTTTGGTCCTGCCTAATATGGGCTGAAATAATGTAATTTGGGGGGGACCCCAGTTCACTAGCATTATCTGAGCTAAGTAGAAGCACATACATACACTTCATTCCAGTTTTACAGTGCTCTGTAAGTGTCCCTTGCTTCAAGCAATGTATGATATTTTCTAGAAAAATGTGAAGCTTTCAGAACTTTAAGAAAGCATCTGTAGTCCTACCCTTAAAAAAATAATTACAAGTAGCAACAAATATATTTTTATGTTTCTTATTTAGTCTCAGAATGCTACAGCATCATACAGATTATAACTCCATCTAGCTCAGTTCTGAAGTAGAGCTTCCTTTGATACTGAGAATTAGGTTGAAAGGTATAGATGACACAGACTATTTTATCTGGTAGACATTACTTGTAAAAATGTATTCTTTGGAAGAGTATTCATATCATGACATACCCAGACAGAACATTTTACATAATCATTTTAAATAAGATTTTAATGACAAATTATATGTGCTGTATGAAATTACACCTGTTATTACAGTGACATTATTTTCCATCCTATTACACCTTAGTTTTGCACTGATCAAACTCCAGTTAATGCCAGAGGAGACACACCAGTAAAGCAGATCTTACAAATGCCTCCAGGAATGTTTGTTTCAATGGTTGAAAACTTGATATAAATACAAGTAGAGTACACAGTGAATTCTCACACTACTCAAGCAAGTGAGATTTTAACACTGATAGCTTAAGCAAACCTGTACTTCCTAGATAAAAATCTGTTCTACTTGTCAGTAAAGCTGTGTTTTATTTTATAGAATGTCTTATGCTGGAAGTAATGTTTATTGAAACCTTTGAGATAAACTATAATAATAAAGGGGGCTAATAGATCATTGCAACAAGTTAAATACTTGCATTTGAATGTTTTCAAACATTTAATGTGCTTTCCTTTCAGATCAGCCTAATTCTCTGCACAGCTCCCAGGGTCCCATGACCAGCGAGGTTAACGAAGCCCTGTTTGCTGCCTCCCCTGAGAACCAGCCCGTTGAGAGCTGTGAGACCTCATTTGTACCACCTGATAATCTGGAAAGAAAACTTCAGTATGAATACAACTACCACGCCTTTGGGAGCCGGATGGATAAAGCAGTTCCACCTGTGCTGTACAGCCCTGAAATGATAGAGGAGGAGAGGAGACGGAGAGTTTCCTGTGATCCGTTTGCAAAGCCATCCCCTACTTCTCAACTGAGTGAACTGTATCCAAGAGCTGAAAAAACAGCATCAAACACTAATCCATATTTCTGGCCACCAGCAGCTGCAACAACACCAAAACAAAATGTAGATTTTTATTATGGGCCCAGTCCCAACAGTCTTTCAACAGGAAACCTGGTGGATCCCTATGGATTGTGTTCAGCTAGTAACTTTAGCCTAAGTAAACATCCTGTGCCAGAATCTGGACAAAACCTGACGTCACCGACCAATGTAAACTGGTATTCAAAGAACTCAGACACAGATACAGGTGAGATTCCTCCTTCTGCAACACCTATATTTCTGAAAACACACTTTTCCTCTATTCAGTGAAGTGGTCAAGAGAGTTTTGTAGCTCAGGGAACAACCTGCTTATTGCAGGCTGATCTGTAATATAGAAAGGGTGAATTCTTTTCATTAAGTTCTTTTTGTTGACTCAAAGTTAAAGCACTGCAGCTTTGACTTCATTATGCTGCTTTCACTGATGTCAGGCTGCCAATTTCAAATGAACCATTTCTAAAGCATCAGTGTAACTGAGGAGTATGAGACCCAACAGCTGACTCAGACTTACCAAAGAACACTGATTTACGAGAAATAATAAAAAATCCAGTAGAAATAAAATTCTGCTGAGTTATCTAAGCCGAGGAAGAGCAGACAGCAAGTACTGCTAAAACAGCTCCCAAAACCAGGAGCTGCTACCAGTGATTCTAGGAAAGCTGAGGAGAACTTTGACTCTCAAAACTGTAACATTCATACCATAGGTTCTACTCATGAAGAAACACTTGTAGCATTTCAGAAAATAGATGGCTATTTTTTAGCTTGGCTTGCAGCAAGGGGAGAGGTCCTGAACCTAGGGAGCCAGCAAGGAGCTGAGGCTTGGAACTGGTTTTTCCAGAGAGCTCTGCCTGGTGCTGAGGGAGAGCTCCTGTTGGTGTTTGCTGGTAAGCCATGGAGTAGAAAGGTATGGAGACAAAGAAGGAAGAGAATATTGGGCATTAACAAAGCATATAAATAAGTGGTAATTGGAGACCTACAAGATAAAACTTTGAGGAACTAGAGACAGCATGAGATGCCTGCTCCTACTCTTGAGTATTTTTAGCATGGTGTTATTTTCCAGGTCATCTCACAAGAAAACGCCTAGCTTTTTACAAGCAGAGTGCCACAAAAGTGTTTTTCTGTTGAATTATTAATGCAGAGGCTGTGATTAGTTGTTTATGTGAATTTATTTACTGACATGAATCCGAGGGCTGTCATGTCAGAAGGCAGGCATTAGAATTTCCAACATCACTAATAAAGGAAAACCTTCTGTTTGAAAGAAATAAAGAAAACATTTATTATAGGAAGACCGTGTGAAATTGTGTAGCAGATACCAGACTGAGGTGCACAAGAGCTGCATTTCAGTTCCTCACTGACTTGTTGAGTGACTCCAACCCATATGCTCTTGCTGCCCCAGTATGAGTTGCAGAGCCCATCTGTGAGCATCCAAAACCTCACACTTGGGAGCTTGGAATTTGCCAGCAGCTCAGTCTGTAACTGCAGTGTGCTCTGATCCCACACTGCCAGGTATTCCTGTAGTCTGTGTCATCTACACCCACATGGAATCCCATTGTCCTCTCTGTGATCCAAGGATGGTTAAGGCTATTAGTAACTCAGCAAAACCTCATAAGATCAGGGCTTAAACTAGAGTTATTCAAGGAGACACAATTCTGCTAATTAAAAAGCTTCTCATCTCTGTATTTAAGAGCACTGTATACTCACATTGTCACAAATATGGCAGCCATTGTTAAGTATATCTACTTTTCTATTTACATAATGCTTTTGGCATTTCTTTGAGGTTTTTTCTTTCTACAGGTTACAGGGATTCCACTTCTTTCCCAAGGGGAACGTTTGCATACTATCCTAGTGTATCCAGAGTAAGCTCAGGTAAGTGCTGTGGCCTTCATCTGCCCTGGTAGCCAACAGGCTGTGCATTGCATCCTGACCAGTAAAACAAAAGACTTCAGGAACTTGAAATAATTTCTGTTATTGCTTAATACCTCTAACCGTAGCTGAAGTTTTCAGTATCAATAGGTATAACTTAGTCTTGTCTCTATCAGGACCTAAACACACCATTAAATGTGTATTTGATAAATCATGGACAACATATTCTTTAATGCAAGAACTTTAAAAATATGAGAGCAGTGCAAGATCTCCTGTACACCTAACCTAGTCACTTCCTTAGATTAAACTTCAAGTTGCTGTCACTCTGCCCAGCTCTGGAACCACACACACATTTGGAACACTTTGTCCTATCTTAGTTTGCATTTTAGTACAAATTTCTAGCTACAGGCTTCATGCTGATCAGTCTTCATTGGGGCACAGGTCTCTACGGTTCTACTGGCTTGAACCCCTAAAGTCATGTAATATCCTTCAGGAGTTATTAATATATGCTCCTTTAAAGTTGTGTTGCTTGAGGCACTCTGAATTCTTTCATTAACCCTTTCAAAGGCTTGTCCAGTTTCTAAGTGGTCTACACTACAGAGAAAACTTGAAAGAGGAGGTTTCTGTCTTCTTGATTCTGCCCCCTTTAAATGATGACCCAAACCTGAGAAGCTGCTAAGTGTAAAGGCTTGGGAAAGGAGATTTATAAGTGTAGTAATTTTTCCTGTTAATACTGTAATATTGACAAAGTATGTGTATATATTTTCATATGTTATGCTAAATTCATTTTGTTGCCAGATAAGAACATAGCAAACATGAGATTTCTTTCTATTCTTAACTACAAATATGATGTGTTTCCTGAGTCCTCTGGCTCTTAAAAAAAATTACAGGAATCAATGTTATGAGTAGAAGTAATAATGTTATGATACACGATAAAATGCATTCCTTTTTTCAACTTCATCTAATAATGCATACATATGATCTTTCTGCCCTGCTGTCCCAGGCTAGCATATATTAAGTATTCTTAATCAGATTTTCATACATAACTATAGATGCTCACACTTCACATTGCAACTGAGTGTGTAGCAAGGATGTAACCATGATTCCAGGTGATTAAATACAGAGCTTGGTGTATCATTTTAAGTGTCTGTATTTTGATTTTAGACCCAGGTTATGAGATTCACCAGTTAAGCTAGAGTTAGAATGTTTAGTGGAGAATTATCCAAGCAGAGTTCAGAAAACACTGTCAAGAGAACAGAAAACTGCCCTCTCCTAAACTGAATAGTGACTTAGCTTCATGCTGCATGTGGAAATCAGACAACAGTAAACCAAAGATCAAATTATGTGTTTTACTAATCATATTTTATGAGCAACGTGAAACTACATTTGCTGTCATCTCGCAGAACTCGGAAGTCATAACTGTAAACTTGCACTTACATCTATGAAAAATAAAGCTGAGAGGCATAGGTGAGCCTTTAAAATGTAAACAAAAAGAGCATTTGAGTCAAGGCTGACCTCCTGAAGCTGTTAGGCAGCAGAAAACAAGACTGCTACTATGCATTCCCAAGGCACAGAGAACATTATTTACAGTCTAGTAACTATCAACTTGGTTGTGGCACTCTGTCATAAAATAGACTGGGCTTTCACTAAAGTACACTTCTGTATCACTGCACAGTGAAAATACACTCACAGCACAGTTGCCAGTAAATGGTTATTTCTACATCAAATACAATGAATATTGCTCCCCTTATTAGTGGAACTGTTTTCTCCTTATGTTACTTCTTGACATTTGAACCTTATGCTGTTGTTTGTAAATTTGTGTTAACGTTCCCTATACAGATGATTCAGTCAAGTACAACATAACTAACAGCTCTGGAATTCAAATTGGATCCTACAATCACATGAAAATTGAAGATCAGAATCCACATGTCAGCACTTGTTCTGTTGCTATGGAAGATATTTATTCTCATTATGAAGCAGTGGGTGTATTTGGTAAGAGAAATATCTCCCTAGTTTTCATGTATTCACCTCATAATTACCTGAGAATCATTTGGTTTGGAATGTATAAAACACACACAGGCAGAAGCAAGGCTAGGATTGGAGATCCTCACCCGACTTCTAGTTTAAATCACAGAATATCCCAAGGTGGAATGGACTCATGCAGATCACAGAGTCCACTGCCTGACATGACACACAGAAAACTAAAAGTTAAACCATGTAAGCAAGAGCCATGACAACTTCATTCAGATAGAAGTTGGACAAATTTGAAATGTAATTTATTTTCATTGGTCAATGCTGAATTAGACTATCTCGGTGTATCCCTAAGTAACATTTATGTCTCAGAATATAAAACAGTCATAACTCCTTAGGAATTCTAGAAAAGGCATTTTCAATCTTGCAGGTTTAAATGACAACCTATGATAGCTTCAGATCAAAGAGGAAATCCAGCAACTGACCCGTGAATACACATATTCTGTCTGGACATTTCTTGCCTGCCATCGCTGGCTTATGCTGCCTCCATGAAATCCATTTCTGATTGCATCACTACGATTCTGTCTCTAGAAATTACCAAGAAGTATTTGGGGGAGGACAGGAGAGAGGGAGTGAAAAGAACAGAAGAACTGTTGAAAGAGATGCAATTTTCTTACACTCATCTTCTTTTTGCAGACAATACTACTGTCCTGACAGAAAAGCATCTGAATCTAGTGAGGGAAAAGCTGGCTAAGCAGTGGAAGCACTGTGCTCGGAAACTGGGCTTCAGTGATCCCGAGATTGACGAAATCGATCATGACTACGAACGAGATGGACTAAAGGAAAAAGTTTACCAAATGCTGCTCAAGTGGGTGATGAGGGAAGGTGCCAAAGGTGCTACAGTTGGAAAACTGGCCAAGGCCCTCTTTGGCTGTCAAAGACTGGATCTCCTTAGTAGTTTGATGCAAATCCAAGAAGAATAAGTTTACTGAGAACAGACTTTCCAGAGCTCTCCTTTTGCACACTTTTGGAACATATTTTTTAACCAACCAGTTAATACCTTCAGTAAATCAAAAAGTGCCCGTCACAATATTCTGGTCTTCCAAAGAATAAAAAAAAAAAGCATCTTCCTTCCAAATAGAACGATTGTCCAAAGATGATAACAACAAAATACAAGACAAGTATCAATTCAAGGAGAATGCATTACTCAAAATTTCTACATTCTACTCTTGAAACATGTTGGTAGTCTCATTCAGTTCCGAAGATTGACCTATTGGTTGAAAAACTTGTATAGAAACTAAAATCAACCCTTACATTTTGCTAAAAGTGCCAATATTTATCATGCCAATATTTGACTGGTTGAAGTCAATGATATTTTTCAAATATTTTTATAATTTTTATTAAATATAGATGTATAGAATTATGCACAACACCAGCATAAATAAAAGCAAAACCTATTTCTGGCTTTAAAACTCTGTAATTGATATTTTGTAATGTTGCATTAGATTTTTACATTGTTTGGTAGAAAAGATTTTACAGGGTAAGAGTCTCATCAGCTTTATGAAATAATGAAAAAATACGTTAAATCAGTATGCAATCCAAATTAAAATCTCAAGAATACAAGAGCTTGGAGAAGTGAAAGGTGCCTTATTACCTCTTGAGTGAAGAGCCATTCTCCTCTCTGCTCTGGAGAATCAGTGTCACTACATTCTGGATCTCTTAGGCTGCATTTATATTAGTTGGTTAAATGTGCCTGGAAATGTTATTGGATGCCAAGGGTAAACTGGCATGCTACAGCCTGCTGCCAGAATAGCACATTCTTTTAACCTCCAAAATGCTGTGCAAAGACTATTTCACAGCACTCAGGTTGTTTCTGGAGAACGCTGGAACAGATCTATAGTTTAGATGATGGTATCCCAGTGCCTGGAAATGTTCCTTGTCACTCTGACTTCCTAATATTGACATAATCTCACTGTGCAGTATCTGTGAAAGAAGAATTACTGCAACTTTTTTGTCCGAAGATTTATGGAAGCTCTTCTTATGAGGGACAACGCCTCCTGTTCCATCAGATTTACAGATATTTCAAGCAGATGTTTCGGAGCTGGTAATTTTTTAAGCTGTGCATAGAGCACTTGGTGTTCATCAGTGTTCATAACTATTCATTTTAATTGTCCAAAAAAAAAGCTAATAACTTAATGGAGTGCAGTTAGAATGGATTTCTGCTCCTTGATACATCACCCACCATTTCAGTGGAAGCAAAATGAAACTAATCAAAGCAAGCATCACCATATTTGTCATCTTTAAACCTACTTAAAATATATTGCATTGCCTTACAGTTTTGACTTAGCAACATGCTAAATTTTCTGTAAACTCTTGAGTACAATACAATGATGTGGTTTATCTGTCTAATGTAATAAGCATACACTTATACCCAGAAAAAGAAAAATTATTCTTTACGCAAATAGAGAGATGGGGTATAGGATGTCTTCTCTACGTCAGTCCATAAAGCTACAGCCAGCAGTTACTGTGATAATTCATTCAACAGATCCCTGGACAGATCACAAAGTCCATTTATGTTCTGTTAATGCTGGTTGCACTGTATTGCTAAATCAATTACCGAGCCCCCATTGGTTTTTAAAGTCTCCCATATCTGCAGTCTTTATTCAAACAATATGCCATTTTTCAGTCATAAGATCTTTGCCCTATTTGATACACAGAATGAATGGTGATCATTTAATGGGCCTACATTAAATGCTTCATTTGCTCTTTATTTAAGCAAGTCTGGACCTTACTCTCTGAAACAAGAAGAACAGAGATGTAGAGCAGAAACATGAAGCATTTTAGAACAAGACTTAGGCATGGGGCAGACCTAGATCTTTAATGCAGGACGTGGGAGATGAAGGTCATTTTAGCTTTGGTGTTTGTCAAGTCCAGTTCTAGACTAGTGCTCATAGTTCATGTGACATTGTAGGTGGTACAGAACACAGCTGAACTCACCTAGAGACAAACTCCTCCACTACAGCCCTTGCAGAACTCAATCACACAGAGCATTCAGCTTCCTGGGCAGAAGGGCTAAAATACCACCAGTCCTTTAGCATATTGTGGAAAAACACATAATAGGACACAATGCCTGAAAGCAGCAGCCAGGCATGCCAAATTAGAATACCTATTCAATAATAAGGATGATGAACTACTGGGATAAACTACCTGTGGATCTTCTTACTACCTCTTAATTAAGGCTGGTCTTGTTTCTTAAGGCAGTTATAATTGAAATCAAAGGTTTAAGTCTCAATACAAGGTTAACTAAGTGACACGTAAAAGCAAATGGTGTACAAGAGGTCCAAGGAAAAGTTGGTGCTCTCCTTGACCTAAAAATTTACAGAAACATTAAGTATGGAAGAGAGAAAGAAGCTAATACTAGTTTACGGGATTACGCATTTCATTCACCACCCCCTATGCCTCTCCCACTGCTCAAAAAAAACCAAGGAAAAAAATTAAGGATGGAGCTGAGTTTTGAAAAGCAACCTTTCATGAGAGATAAAAAGTGCAGGAAAATATTGGGCTCAAGGATGAAAAAAGAGTGATGTATTATGGGATAGATCTGATACCTTTCATGGCAAAACAAAGGTGAGAAAGGACAGAAGAGTGATTTCACATCAAACTGGCAAGCTATCAGCCTCAAGGGCAGAGGCAGCACTAAAGCAGCAGCCTTACAGACATTTGTCTTAAAACTGGTGAGGTGCAAGACAGGGAGGAAAAGGCTGTGGGTTGCAGCAGCAGCCCTCCTCATGGTCTCTCCTTGAAGAGCAGGAGGTGAACTCACCCAGTTATGCACAAGGACATTATGTTTTCCCATTTTAGGAGAGTAAGTGTTTGCAGACTTTAGATCAAATACAACTCAAGTATAATCTTTGCCCAGTAGCTACTCTCATCACACAGCACCCAATCTGTGCTGAAACTCTTAAATGCAGAGAGGACTGAGTCCATGTAATTCAGAGCAATTAATTTGTTTAATTTTGTTACTGTGCCACCACTAACAGCATAGAAGCTGCTAAGAAATACGAAGAATTTTTACTCCTTCCAAAATAGTTGCTAAATAATACCAATTAATAATGCTGCATTAAAAACTCAGACATTGTTGCAAGTATTTAATATGTGACCTCTGAGCTGAGCTGGCTACATACAGCTCCTCTTCCTCAGAGGCCAGTTTCCAAGGAGAGGCAACACTCAGCACTTAACCTCTGACTAATCAAACAGCTTTAAGTAAACTATGCCACTTTCCTCTGATGGATTTTTCAGCACTGTTCAATAACAAATGAAAACCATCTTTCAGCATGGAGGCACATAGGAAATTGAGCATGTTTCAGAGGCTTAGGGAAACAGTCATGTACACAGAGAGAAGGAGCTACAGGGAAACAAAGTAGGAAAGATCATCCAGTGCAAGCAGGGACACATTACAGCCAAGTAGCACTTGGGAGAGTTTTCTTTACAGCATCCTAGTGTCCTCCACACATTTTTTCCTACCCTTCCCTCATTGCAGTCTCTACAGGCTAGAAAAAGTGCTCCTTGCAGCATGCTAGGTTTCCCTTCTAGCATACCAATTAGCAATAGGAGTCAAGTGACGATGCTTATTTGTTCCTCAACACACACGAGCAGCTAGTGAAAGTGCAGCCCCTTAACACAGCCCCTGGGGAAAAGGGAAGGGGGGAGGCAGGGTCAGAACAGGCTGCAGAGACTAGAAGTGATCTTTGTGCTGGAGGAAATATTGCCTATGAGAAACACAGCAGACCACAGTTCCGACTTGTGCTGGGTTTCCCCCTCCTCTACAACTCTAAAGTAGGTCACTTCCTTTCTCTTTAGCACAGTTGCCTCATCTTTTTGGTACAGATACTAACTTCTGCCAGAACTAAGATGTGATCTGATAATAAGCACTGTAGCCTATAGAGCTCAGAGAGACACTTGAGAGATAAGAGCTGCTTGAAACAAAAACCCACACTAATTTCCTTCATCAGCCAGTAATACTGCTGGATTTTGAATGATGGGTTGCAACTCCTGTGCACCCCACACACACCGCTCTCTCTTTAGCTGAGAAACCTAAATGCAGCCCTGGAAAGGATATCTTGGTCACCAAGTTCATCAAAATAGATTCACACAACCCCTTCCATAAACCAATAAAGAACTATCTTCTAAATGTTACTCTTGCTTTCTCCAAGGGACAAGCTGTTTCTTCCTTCATAGCTGAGTATCTGGAGTAATTTCAAGTCTCTGTGTCTAGAATGTCCTAAATATGGTCAGAAATTATACCAAGATTATGCTTGGATTTACAAGATTGAGATTATATTCAACTTTGAAATTATGAAGCCACCTCCCACTCAAGTGCCCAAGTACAGGTGTGTCAGATTTATAATGCAGTTATTCATGAGCATACAAAAGATATGCAGACACTGCTTCAGTTGACAGATACTAGCCTTTGCTAGAATAAGAAAACTGCAGACAAGCAAAGAAAATCATTACATATTGTGTTTTAGTTTCTTCATCAGTCTGAAATGTTCTTTGAGCCAAGGTATCCAGAATCTTTTCTATTATCTGTTCTACTTATGACAAATCATTCTTTCCTTTATGCTCGGTTAATATTCTAACTAAACAAGCCTCCTGCTACAAAACCACATACTGTCACTTCCCCACACTTCACAGCTCCAAAAGTCATGCCATATTCAGTCTTTCTTGTCTGGAAGGTCAATACCAAATCACAGAAATATCAGTATTTTCACATCTTTGTTCTGAATTTGGCAATTCCCTACTACCCAAATCTTACCTTTTTGTGGAGCTGAAGCAGCAAGATTTTTCTCCATAGGTGAAAACACACAAACAACATCCAAGAGGCACAAAAGCCCAAGCAACAAAACAGTCCTGAAGTAGCAAGATATTTCCCGTCATAGAAGCAGATAAAATAAATTAGGCAAAAATAATCAGTCAGTGTGTTCACAGACTCAGGAACCAAAGTCTACAAGAGTACCTGGATCATGGAAGACCCCAACAAGTCACAGAGATGGCTGTAGCACAGCTAGAGCAGGGAGTGAGGGCACTGTTCTGAGCTGAAATTAGGCTCCATGAGCCAGGGTGTGGGGAGACCCCAGTTGAGGCTGATTGTGGCCATTAAAGCCAATTAGTGCCCCAAGGCCTGACAAATGAGCTCCTTCTTGAAAACTCCAGAGTTAAATCCCTGCTAATGCTAACGATTCCAGTGTCTTGTATGGGATCGCAGCTCCTGATAGAAGAATCACCTGTGTGGGTGAAAATAATGCCTCTTGAGAATTGGAATTAGTCTTTCTGCCTGATGATCCAGCAGATCTCAAGGGACCCACTATGTCAATAACTGACTAGGTCTTTTCTAGATTTTCTACAACCTGCAGAAATTAAAAAATAGTAGACACATATTTTCTATCCAAACATGAGTCAGAAGACTCCTCCTTGTAATTTAATAGGCATACTGAAATTCTCATTGTTGTGCAGTTTTGTCCCTTACAAGAAGTTGTGAAAAACTCTTCCCCTGGTGTTCAGGTCTATAAGGAGCAAATCTATGCAGCACCAACAGTGCAGCCTGGCTGCAGGGACTGTGATGGTTCATCAGAGGTGACAAAGTGCCACTGTGCAGCAGTAATGTCCTGCAGAGCATTACCTGGATATGAGGGGAACCCTGTCAGTAGTAGGTGTCCACAGTGAAGAGATGGTGCAACACCAAGAGGGTCAAAAAATGACAGGGTGGTTAAAAGGGAAATCTGTCCTCAGGAACACATCACCGGCTGAGCACCTGCTACCTCCTCTAAACATCACCTCTTCTCTTCTCTTCTCTTCTCTTCTCTTCTCTTCTCTTCTCTTCTCTTCTCTTCTCTTCTCTTCTCTTCTCTTCTCTTC